TTACAATAACAATTTAAGATATAATCAAGCCCAACGCGCACTTCCTGCGCCTCCTATCCCAGTCAACCATTTAAACTACCAAGCGACCAACGAGACGAGCAACTCGTTGGAAATCGCATCAGTATCCTGCTCACCGATCCCGACTCAGGATATCGAGAAACTACAAATATAAATTCTAGCAAATCGAATCCTATTTCTCGAAGGTGTCCTCAACCGCCAAACTATCGAGACCACACAACACAAACAAACAATGTACCTTTCAAATCACCGCTTAAGTATCAGATACAGTTGAAAAATGCGTCTACACAGACTAGAGACTTAGTTACTCACATCACTCAGTACTCACAAGTTCTAGTTCTTAAACAGAAACCTACGAACAGTGTAACCAGCCCCAAACAGACAAGTCGGATATCACTGTTTCCTTTATACAAAATCCTAAGACTCAATCTCGCCCTTATACTAACTCCACTGTATCCAATCGACTTAACCGACAGGGTAACCAGCCCCAAACTGATAAGTCGAATGTCACAGTATCCACTGTATGCAATCGACTTAACCGGCAGGGTAACCAGCCCCAAACTGACAAGTTGAATATCACTGTATTCACTGAATCCAATCGACTTAACCGACAGGGTAACCAGCCCCAAACTGACAAGCCGAATATCACTGTATCCACTGTATCCAATCGATTTAACCGACAGGGTAACCAGCCCCAAACTGACAAGTTGAATACCACTGATTCTACTGTTTTTAATAAAGCACGTTTGCAATCAAAACCCAAAACTAAAAACCCTAAATCAAAACCTCCAAAATCCAAATCTAATACAAAATCTATTACCATATCCGCCTTAACTGATGGACCACCCGATAACCTCTTACACTGCACTTTTCACATAGAAGGCAAACCAGTTACATTTCTCATAGATACCGGAGCAGAGATCTCGGTTATAAAAAAGGATAAAATAGGTTTGTCACTCTTAAATAAATTAAACATCGTGTAAATCGTAGGCATTTCCGGTAGCGAAAACTCAATTACAACCTCAGGCACCACCGACATATCTCTAGATTACCTACCTAAATATCGTTTCCATGTCGCTTCCCTTAACATTAAAGGAGACGGTATACTGGGTAACGATTTTATGATTAAGAATAATTGCAGCATTTACATTCAATCCAAATGAGAATACGTGACAGATCCTACAACTTACATTATTTAAATGAAAATCCTCAAAATATAATCGACTCTAATAACCAATTCCTTTCTTGCCGCTCTGAAAGTGTAATTATGTGTAGAACAAATAATATAAATTCCGGGACAGCAATAGTCGAAAAACAAATAATAGATAACGGTATTGTTATTCCCGAACCATTAGTCGAAGTCAAAAACAATTCATTTATTATCACTTGTGTAAATACAAACAAATCCGACAAAGTGATTAGCATTCCAAATATCGAAGTTCTCCCTTACCAACCAAATCAACAAACAAACAACATTCATAACCACTTAATTAACAATCTTAATCACACATCTTACACCGATAGACAAAACCAAGTACTCACCCTTATTAGACACGAACATTTAAACGAAGAAGAGTCGAAGTCATTAGATAAAATTATTTCCAAATATAACGACATATTTTTCATCGAAGGCGACGCACTACTAACACTCCAATTCACACAAAAACCTATCGCTTTCCTCAAGTACACGAACAAGAAGTAAAATCACAAGTCCAAAAAATGTTAGACCAAGACATTATCAGACCTAGCTCATCTCCTTGGAGTAGCCCCATCTGGGTTGTTTCTAAAAGTCGGTTCCCTGTAAATTCGGTTTACTGACGATAGTTGAACGTGACAACGCCGATTGTGCCTCTTTGTAGCTCGTTCCGCGCTCTCGCTTGCATTTCAAGCCTTAAATGGAACGCCTCAGAGCGAGGTAACGCCGCATGAGTCATGTTTTTTCGTGCGTGCAGCCAGCTACATCGAATTAGAAGACGTCAAAAACTAGACGCATCTGGGAAACAGAAATGGCGATTAGTTATTGATTACTGCAAGTTAAATGAAGTCACAGTAGGAGACAGTTATCCTCTTTCCAACATCACTGACATCCTAGACAAATTAGGTCATTCTCAATATTTTACCACATTGGATCTCGCCTCAGGTTTTCATCAGCTAGAAGTAGATCAAAAAGATATTCCTAAAACAGCTTTTAATACTCCATATAGTCATTACGAATATAAAAGAATGCCATTTGGCCTGAAAAACGCGCCAGCGACTTTTCAGCGTGTAATGGACTCCGTTTTGTGTGGCTTAGAAGGAGAAAGATGTTTTGTTTACCTGGACGACATAGTAGTATTTGCTTCTAGCCTTCAAGAACATGAACAAAAACTTGAAGAAGTTTTCTCTAGACTTAAAAAATACAATACAATACAATACAAACACTCACGACTGTCACCCAGAGGGGTAGGCAGAGACTACGGACTTCCATTTGGCGCGATCTTGACACGCCTCCCTCGCCTCCTTTATATCTATATATTTACGCATACACACTCGTCGGTTAAGGGTACTCCTAATCTGGCCCATTTTTAATATATCGCCGATTTGGTCGGTAAACCTTCGTCTAGGGCGTCCCTTTCCGACCCTGCCGTTCACTTCTGAAACAAAAATTTCCTTTGTCACTTTCCTCGTTCATTCTTTCTACGTGACCAAACCACCAAAGCATTCCTTTTTTAATCCTAGTCACAACGTCATCTTACAAACCACACTTTTCTCTTATCACACTATTTCTCACCCTGTCATTCAGATTCAGCCCTAGTACACACCGTAATGACCGCATTTCTACAGCCTTTATTCTACTCTCATGCTTCTTCTGCCATACCCAACTTTCACTACCATACATTAAAGTAGGGACTAGCACAGCATTATGAATTGCCATACGTGCCTTCTTTGACACATTCTGACTCTTCATAATAGCGTGTAGAGCCCCATTAACTCTATTTCCTGCGTTCACTCGTCGTTCTATATCCTTATCTTATCTACCATCCCTGCTAAATAAACATCCCAAATATACAAACTCATCACTTGCTCAATCAAATCCCCTTCTATTCTTATTTCACATAACGTTTTACTTTCTTCTCTTTCAAAAACCATCACTTTCGTCTTACTTGCGTTCACTTTCATATCCCTTTCTTTTAATGACCAGTTCATTAAATTAACCATAATTTGCAACTCGGCCGCCGACGATACAAATATAACTTGATCATCGGCGTACAAAAGGCATTTGACGGTTAACTCACCCATTCTTATCCTACATTCTTCAACTTTCAAAGTTTGCAAAAACAACTGTCCATAAATAGGTTAAACAGCCACGGAGAAGCTACACAGCCCTGTCTGACACCATTTTGAATGCCAAACCAGTCCGAGTAGGCCCCGTTAATCCTGACACAAGCACTAGAGTCCCTATAAAGAGACTTTAATGCCTGTATCAGACCAGCGCTCAACCCAAATGAAGTCAGTGTTTGCCATAACACGTTCCTGTCCACTCCGTCATAGAAAATATGAACTAAAAATCCAATCAGACAAATGTGAATTTCTTTGACGCGAAGTTGCTTATCTTGGCCATATCATTTCCAACGAAGGCGTTAAGCCGAACCCCGATAAAGTGCGGGCAGTTCAAGAATTCCCTATTCCTAATTCGTGTAAAGATATAAAAGCATTTCTAGGTCTTACAGGATACTACCGTCGGTTTATCCCTAACTTCAGTAAACTCACTAAACCTTTAACTAGCCTTCTTAAAAGGACACAACTTTCATATGGGACGAAACCCAACAACAATCCTTCAATGAATGTAAACATCTTACTAACCCTCCAATCTTACAATATCCTAACTTCACAAAGGAATTTACACTAACCACAGACGCTTCGATAAACGCCTTAGGTGCTGTGCTATCGCAAGGCGAAATAGGCAAGGACTTGCCTATAGCATATGCATCTCGAACACTCAATAATGCTGAATCCAACTGTTCCACTATCGAAAGAGAGTTATTAGCTATCGTTTGGGCAGTCAAACATTTTAGACACTATTTGTTTGGTAGGAAATTGAAAATTGTAACTGACCACAAACCGCTAACATGGCTTTTCTCGATAAAAGACCCTGGTAGTCGGTTAGTTCGTTGGCGACTTAAACTCGAAGAGTACGAATACGAAGTAGTATATAAGGCAGGTAAAAACAATACTAATGCAGACGCTCTCTCACGCCCACCAATTCTCCACACGAACATAAATAATCCAACAATAACGACAAAAACACACATCTTGACTCAAACACTTCAGAAGACTATTTACAACTAAACTTTCAACACTACTTAGAAATCGACTCTCACACTCTTAATACTCCATATCTCCATATTTCACCAGAATGCCTTTTAAACGAACGTCACAAAAACATTCTTATCCTAGTCTCTTGTCAACTTTCCGATAATAATACCCTTTTCAACCAAGCAATTTCCACTTGCCGTCAAGTTCTCTCTCAAGTAGCTCTCAATATGGCTATATTTAAATAAACCAAAAACACTTTACGAGACCGATTTATTAGTTTCAGATAAGAAACAAAATATTATATTTGGCTCTTCGAGACCCACTCACTTCGATCCTTGGGATTCTGAAAGCTATTTTAAAATATTACTCGCTTGCCTACACAACCATAAATTAAAATCACTTTACATTCTAAATCTAAAAAACGACCCCACTTGTAAACTTAAAGGAAACGAACAGTTATATATTACAACTTATTTAGCAGACCTTTACGAATGCAAAATCACCATATGTGAAAATAAAGTTAAAACTCCAGCTCCAGAAGAGATAGCATTAATCCTGAAAACCTTCCATGATGATCCCCTATCAGGACATCGTGGCATTATCGAAACAACATGCAAAATACGATCTGAATATTTCTGGAAAGGAATGACATAAACTATTAAAAACTATATAGATAATTGCCAAATATGTCAACGAAACAAAATTCAACGAAAACATATAAAGCTCCCATGGTTATTACTTCTTTTTCTACTGAACCTTTTGAACGCGTAACTATTGAATTAGTCTCTTATTCAGACATAACTAACGACTATAATAAATATATACTCACATTACAAGATGACTTAACTGGTTTTGTTCAAGCATACCCCATTCAAGACAAACAAGCAACTACAGTAACCAAATCCCTTTTAATTTTCTGTCAACATTACGGTGTACCTAAACGTTTCCATTCCGATCAAGGTACAGAATTTCTTAATAGCGTGATCAAACAATTGACGAAATTACTAGGATCCAACCACACAGTTAGCACCGCATATCATCCTCAAACTAACGGTTCATTAGAACGATTCCACGCAACATTACGCGATCACATCCGAATGTACCACAAACGTAATCAATCTAATTGGGATCAAATTGTGCCATTTGCCGTTATGTGCCATATGAGGTGTAACTCTTTGGTTACAAACCGTTCTCTTTATTCTTTAAAAGCAAACGACGACTACACAACTCATGACTACCTACGAGATTTAAACGAAAGACTCAAAGTATCACGGGACATAGCCCGCCAAAATGTAGAGTCAATGAACGAAAAGGCAAAAGAGCGATACGACAGCAATATTAAAAATATTTCCAAATTTAAAGTTATGCTTAAAGTCCGTAATCCAAACAACTTAAATAGATTATGGGACGGGCTTCATGTCATTGTTAGAATAGGTTTTAATGAAAATTTTATTACACAAAAATTTGAAAAAAGACCAAATAGTGCATGTAAATCGCTTAAGACCATTGCATGACTTCTTTCAATAATCATAATATTTTATTTTAATACTAGATCTTAATTATTCATAAATATTTAACTTTAAATCTATTCCACTCGCTCACTGGCTCGAATAATGGCACACCCTAATGAAACCTTTAGTTTAATTGAAAATCTTTTATATCTTATAAATAACCCATAAATTAATTTTACTATTTGTTTTTTTATAATTATTACTTTACATCATTTTATACAAAGTTTATCTATTTTCTAAGAATTATTACATAACTAAGTTTAAAAGAAGTCAAAACAATTAACTAGGTTTATTTTAATATTCAGGTAGGTACTCCACAACTCATGTTGATGGGATACCCACATAAAACCTATTCCTTCTAATTCTGGACTCTATTTCGAAAACAATGGTGAAATATTAATATCTGAAAATTCCTCGAAATTTATCGTATATCGTAATCTTGAACCTTTATTCCTAGCTCGCAACTCTATCAGACGACTTATAAATAACTATCAATCTTTCATTACCATACATTCAAATTTACCTACCGTTATAACTACTACTTCATTTATAAAATTTTCTTCATTAATAAACATAGACAGAATAGATTCTAAACTCGACGAACGAGATATCGATGATGTCATTACAAGCATACTTTTCATTAAATCGAATGTAATACACCCTTCTATAATATCCACTATGCGCCTATACAAAGAATTACTGTCTTCTAAGTTCTTAGTTGCCCCAATAGCATTACCTAATTTACACAAAATACTTGAATCTGCCTCTATTACTTCCTATATTTATATGAATAAAATTATATATATCCTAGAATTCCCTTTAGTAAAAAAACGAAAATTTACATTATGTCATTTATATTCTATCCCTATGCTATATCCTGACTCTTCCTTATATTCTACTATCCTTCCCGAACAAACATATCTTGCCATGAGTACCACTAGACAACAATACGTCATCATGAGCTCACTGGACAAATGCAAAGACTTTGCAACGGAATCTAGAGTCTGCAAGGATCTTCTCATCTACAACATCAACACCAGACCCATATGCGAAGTTGTCATCTTAACAACGACGAACCAACAAGTTCCTGAAGTTTGTGATGTAACTACGTTTTCTGCACACATCAACACTTTCCAAGCTCTTAGAAACAGCAACTGGACTACATACTTCAAGGCAAGACTCCGTATCCCTTAGAATGCGAAAGCAAAACGACTAACGGCGAAATCTTTGGAGCAGGTATCATCACTCTAGAACAAGAATGTAAAATGTACACCGCGTTTGTTAAGCCTGGCGTCGACTACAGCAGAAATGCGTCGAATCGAAGCGAGTTGCATTTATTTCTAGTGCGTCCATCTCTGACGAATCGAATCGAATTGCTCATGCATCGCAAATTCTTCAATAAAATAAGTCGTATTTGCGTCATGGACAGCTCGGATGAAGAAATGTTTTTATTTCATCAGGATAATGTTGATCTACATGATTAAACAATTCTGGATATTGTTGGACCAGTGATATCAATAGTTCTTCATTCATTTTTATTTAAACATAAAGATTTTTACGAAAACGAAATAGAAATTAATTAAACTACGCTGGCGTGCATCCAGTTCGCCACGTCGACTGAGGCGCGCTGAGTTGAATCGAATCGCATCGGCGAAGAAATTCGCCTGTCAAGCAATTCGCGCGGTCGATTAAATTCGGCGCGCCGCGGCTCGTCGCTAATGGACGCCGTTTCATAGTAAATATATAGGAGGCGACTTTCTACGATTCGATTAGACTCGGCTCGGCGAGCCTAGTGGACGCTTAGCCTTACACTCCTAGCTGAGGATACAAAATCGATCAACATCAGCCATCCTTTTATCTATGTGGATATTGGACACATTTGCATCCCAGATGAAATTAAGCTGCAACAACTAGAACCTGCACCAATCCAGCTCAACAACATTCAACTCGACTCTCTTAATTCGGTTAGAGAACAAATAAAAACTCACACAAAATTGCTTGAAGATAATAAACCTACATTCTTAGAAAAACACGTAACAAAATTTTCCATATTAAGTAAGATTACTGGCATCATTATGCTAACATATTTTTGTTATAAATGTTACAAACGCTTGCCATGGAATAACATAGCTAGAAATCCACATGGTAACTGTATACAAATTTTTAATAATTGCTTTGACCGTTCTGGTCGCCGACTACACGTCGAGATTCCCATATCATCACTAAACACCACTTCTACAACAGCCTGTATATCAGAAGAGAAAGACTAAGCTGCTGACTACACTCAAAAATTGAGCAAAACCGCTCAACCTTTGTTCTAAGGCTATGTAGTAGGATACTGTTTACTTTATATTATAAGACCTGTATAGTTTATATTGTTTATCTAATAAATTACTTTCTTAAAAGCCAAACGAACGTTATGTAATAGGATGCTGTTTACTTTATATTATAAGACCTGTATAGTTTATATTGTTTATTTAATAAATTACTTCCTTACAAGCCACACTAGTTCGATTGTAATATTATATGCTAATGTTTATAGTTTACCATAAGTTAAGCAAAACACCAAGAACAATGTCGTCTCTTTATGTTTAAGACCACCTCCTAGCTTCCAACACTATATAAACCAAATCTTTTGATCCCTCAACACAATTCCATTACCAAGTTCTCTGTATCAACTAGTTTTTTTTTTATAGTAGAGGGGGCAAACGAGCATGCGTCTCATCTGATGGTAAGTGACTACCGCCGCCCATGAACAACCGCAACACCAGGGGAATTGCAGATGCGTTGCCGGCCTTTTAAAAAGGAGTAGGCTCTTTTCTTGAAGGTTCCTAAGTCGTATCGGTTCGGAAAAATCGCTGGTGGTAAACTATTCCACAAGGAAGTTGTGCGAGGAAGAAGACATCTTCTAAATCGCACAGTGGTGGACCGCCAATCATCCAGATGGTGTGGATGGTATCGGGAGTTCTGCCGCGATGTGTAGATATTATATATTTTAAGTTAGTTTAAAAGTATTAAGTAAATTTATTTTTAAAAGAGTTTTTGTCTCTGCCACATAACAAAATATATAGAGGTCAGTCATGTAGTGTTCGGTGTATATTTTATACTCTGGGGTAATAACTAAATCATAATGGTTATACACTCTTTGATAGTGACTAGTGACCATAATAGTGTTCATTAAACATAGATTGTTGAAGTATTCGATAGTAATCGATAGTTTCATATAAGACCATCGATATATCGATAGACTATCGATTGTCTTTGAGCAGGTATCACAAATAAAAATAACAATAAGTAATTATTTTACTTTTTTGGTTGCTCGTCTTTGAGAAATACGCAATTTGTCACTGGCTAGTGTAAAACTGTGAAGGAAAGTCACAATAGTCTATGTCTTCAACAACTGATTTCTATTAAAATAATTCTTAAAGAACTTCTAGATTTTTTTGGTTGCACTTCATCTTGAACTTGACGTTCTGACGATGATCCCTCTTCCGATTCTAACCTATCTATTTTATCGGCATTGCTTTCTTTTCAAGTGATCTCTTAGATTGGTCGTATTTCCTAAATGCTTATATTCCTGATTATAAAAGTAACACTTTACAAACGGAATATTACAGTCCACTATCTAGAAATAACTCTACTATAATACAAAACAAATCAGTAAACTATAAAACGCAAGATCAAACGCCCGTTCTGGTACTCACACAAATAGCGACTTACGTCAGCGTCACATATATTAATTAGTTATTCACAAACAGTATATTTACAAGGATTTCTCTGACCTTAGACTAAAGGGAGACATCTACTATAGACAAAAATTACGATGAGGATGGCAATCGATAGTTAAACCAAACTATCGATAGAATCGGTAGTGCAAACACTATCGATTAATCTATAGTCTATCGATGTTTAAGGAACACTAGACCATAATCAATCTACGACGTAGACAGAGAATCCAATAGACGGCAGGATCGCATAACCGCTATTCTGTCTTTCATTCTCGCATCACAGTGCTGCCATTTTGGCAATGTTGCCCACAAAATAGGGATATTTTGTTTGTGAAGCGTATGCCAGTAATTCTGGGCCAGTTTATTCACGTGAAATTAGGATAGGATAATTAAAAAAAAATTAAACAAATAAGTAATATTAATAACAAATATTAAATCATATTTATTTTGTCAATATAAGGAAATCTTTATTGATAGGATCCGATCGAGTAAAGTAGATTGCTATCGTCGTCGTAAACAAGCGCTTTGGTCTTAAACTCTTCAGGAATTTGTTCCAGATTTGCCATTTTTATTTTTAGAGGCCTTGTTTTCTGACGAAGAGCGCGCACCATTCTCAACCTCTTCTCCGATAGATTTTGCTGCTGTTTCAATCTATTGGTAAAACTTCTTGGCGTACCCAGTGGCTGAAAAAGAAAGTTAAAAATTTTAATCCATTAAACCTTTTAGCAGCCGTTATTCATTGCAAACAATAGATTTTCAATTGTGTTCATAATGTTATATGTCACCATTTATACCACGTTCATTAAAGCAAAATACAAAATGTAAATAACGAAACCAATGGCTCTAAAAACAACGACAAATAATGCTGTGCGTAATGTCAACTAATCAGTCAGTGAGTAGTTCAGTGCCTTTTACATATACAAATTTATAAGTCAAGATAACATATGCTACTGTTCAGTCTCTGGTTTTTGTGTTTAATCACTTATCCCACTTGTATGACAGCTAGATACCACCAATTTTCGTAACCGGTACAACACAATCTTTTAAAAACTTAAAACTTACCTCAAATGTGTTTGGTAGTTCCATAACTTCATTATCAATCTGATGCATGTTTATAGTAATTTTAACGTGCTCTTGAAAAAATATTACATATTCTCAATATTACATTCAATAAAAAATATAACAGTATGTCATTACATGATAATTATAACTTTTATTTTCTTTTAATTTTATCACTAGTACTAGTGTTTAGTTAACAACGCAATGAAAATTACCGTATTTGGTTGTTCCATCACTAAATCATCACGCTCAGGTCCGTATACTTACAACATATTACTTACTATTACTTATATCATATTTACAACATCCTCCTCGAAAAATGTTACATTTTTAAATTTTCTTCTATATATTCATAATAAAAGAAATTATGTGTTTTAAATTCCCTTTTATCCTATCATAATCCATCATATTATAACTTACATACTTTGGTTAAAACATTCATTATCCGATTTTCAGACACAATAGTAAGACAATACCAATGACCTATATGTAGTGCACGGGACTACGAAAGGGTTAAATTCTGGTCTTAAGCAAGCCCAACTACTAAATAAAAAACACAGTTAGAAGATTTAAAATACGACGATATTTTAGCTTACAAACCTTTATTGTATAAAGTGTTGGGAGAGCATTATGAAATAACTCAGTTCTTGTCCTTTTTCGGACTAATAAATTCCTTTTTAAGTGCCTGAAGCAAAGTCGAGAGTATTTAGTTTATCGTCAGAGTTTTAACTTTTCTTACCATGTTTTCTTTTCATCTAACATATATAATATACAGGTACACACATGCTTATTGTGAACCATTTGGAACAGCAGTATCAATAGCTTGAATCTTACATCCTGTTCATCTTCATCACAATTATCAGCTTCTTTAATCCCTTTCACAATTCCACTGCTGAACATAGGCCTCCCCATAGGACCATATACCTCGTTTCTGTTATATACATCGAACCCCAAATCGTCACTCCATCTAGTTGGAGGTCGTCCTACGCTCCACTTGTCGGTTCAAGGCTGCCACTCTAGAACCATCCATCGATTGTCGGTTCGTCGAGCCATATGACCGGCCCATTGCATCTCCAGCTTACTGATTCGTAAAATTATTAAATATTTTCTCCCAATTCTTCTTACCAGTTCTTAAACTTATTTTCTTTTTATTTCTGAATCAATTGGGAAACTGACAAATAAAAAAAGAGAAATAAATTTAAATGATATAATAAACATAAGTATATTAACACAATGGTAAATATGTAGTATAATACATGAGGTGCTCTCGCCGTAATTGTAAGCGATGAGATCGTACCTCGGGTAATTATAAACTTTAGCTGGCAACATAGGTTTGAGGTTATAATTACGCCAATAATGATAATATCAAATAATTTATAGAAAAAATGACCGTGAACATCGTTTTAACTAATACATCCATGTAAATCGTGCTTCAGAAAGTTATTTAAATATATATTCATGAAATACGTTTACTTACGCGTGAAATGTAATGCTTTCAATTTTTCGTTCACTGCGGCTTTTACAGCCCATAACACTGCACGACATCATAATATGGTTAAAATCAAATAAAACTTAATGAAAAACGGAAACACCCCCCCCCCCCCCCAACCCCAGCCTATTAATTTGGTACTTTTTATAGTATAAAAAAACTGCACCTTGCTAGAATAATTATAATTAAAAGACGATGCTGACATCGACAGGGAAAGGAGGGCGATGGTGGTCCGCTGTAATATGCTGGCACGCAGATTCGCGCGGTGTAGCTTTGGAGTAAAGATAACTCTCTTTAAAGCCTTTTGCCAAACTCTATACACTTGCAATCTATGGGTCAACTACACCCAGCGGGCCATCAACGCTCTCCGAGTACAATATAATAACGCATTCAGGGTGCTGGTGGCGCTCCCACGCTGCTGTAGTGCATCTGCGATGTTTGCGCACGCGCACACGGACGGCTTCCACGCCGTGCTGCGACGCCGCATCGCCTCACTGATGCTCCGTACGCGGGGGAGCGCCAACACCATCCTGAACGTGCTCAGCGACAAGCCTGACTGCCCCCTTCTGCGGCATTGGTTACAAATGCATGTGCCCGGTGCCCCAGATACATGAATTAAACTATAGATTAATTTTATTCAAGTAATTAATATGTCAAACAATCAAATTAACTTATATTGAATTAATTTCAATTAAATAAGATTAAATTAAATTAAAAAGATTAGATAGAATTATATAAAATTAAATTAGATGAGATTAAATTTATTATAATGTAAATGTAACTTGTCACTCTGTCTTAGTCTGAAATAAATTGATTTTATTTTGTTGTTTATTTATTTTATTAAAAATGCATAAAATGCAATGATAAACACAAAAATTTGATAAAACCAAATTTGTTGAAAAAAAATCACCGAATCGATAATAGTATATAAATATTAATTATTTAGACTGCACCCATGTAAGGTGCAATTTAACTAATTAATATTTTTGAGATGTGCTATTTAAACTAAGTCCGTCAGTATTTTTTTTATATATATACTATAAATTCATAGGTTTTGGTGGGGGGGGGGAGGTAACGGAAACGGCTTGTTAGGTCGTACGGGAATAAGGACAACAATATGGTAGGATAAGTCTATGGTGATAGCGTAGATAGAAGATTGATAGATATTATAAGTATATGTGTGACAGAAACCAGAAACCTAGTTAGACTGTCACTTCGAGTTCACAACTCACATTCACATAAGAATTGCTTCGAGTTCAATTTAGGAATGGGCTGTAACAAGTAAAATTGCATATCTGCTCCGCCTGTTAGAGTTTCACATAGTTAACAGTTCCAAAAACCTGTTACAAATTAACAGTCTGTTACTACAGTCTTGGTAGGTACTTCTCTTTTTAACTAAGGTGTTGAACCTATGCGAGAAAAGGACAGAGCTTGCTTGTGACAACTGTAACAGGGCGTCACAGTGTAACAGTAACATTTTTATCGTAATTTTAATAACGTTAACTGTCATATGTATGAATAAAGAAAAATTTGTGACTGTCTTTTATTGGATTTGTTATCTCGTGGAACAGGAGCAGTTCTTTCAGTTTGATTATCGCAGTTACAGTGTGCTATTTTAATATACATGTTTTTTATCTGTTACGATATATATGCCTCACTCCTAGTTCGATTTCGAGTCGCATCACTACTGCACATCCACACGTAGAGCTACATTAGGGATGCTCGATGTTGTCGAAATATTGATGATGACATCGATGTTGACATCGATAACTCAACATAGATGTTCGATGTTTATCCTACTCAAAACATCGATGTTGGCCTTGGAGGTTGTTAGAATTATATGAATAAAAAATTGTCATGTTGTTTATAGATTAATATATATTGAAGAAATAGTAATTTTGACAAAGAAGTACTTTTCAATATGTTTCTCTGTTGATAAAGAGTTTAGCGAGCTAAGGAAAACATTTAAAAATAAAAATTTTGTACAACTGACTTCAATATAAATCATTAAGGATAACTCAAAAACTATTGGTCTGACTTATATGGGTCAAATTTATATGGAACCACATGACGAAGCACCAGCTTTCAAATAAAAAAAGTATCATCGAAATCGGTTTACCCAGAAAAAAGATATGAGGTAACACACATTAAAAAAAGGATATACAATAAAAATATCGAATTGATTACGTCCTCCTTTTTGAAGTCGGTAGATAACAGCTCAGATAGCGATGATGTAACGATTGTAGTCAAATATCTCACCGCAAGTTGTTTTTAAAGTTTAGATAGGTGGAACGAATAACATTGTTCTAAACGTGCATTGATCTTAAACACGATTTAAGATCAACCACTGGATTTTGTAAAATAACCGACGAAGAAACCGACAACAAACTGCGACACCAATAACAAAACGAAATTAGTGACAACTGCATTACAAATGACAACGCTTGACAGTTAAATTTGATACACCAAAATGATATATTTTTAGGCTATCGATGCGTTCAAGCATTCTGAATTATTCAAAACTTTAAATAATTTAGAGGAATTGCAAGATTTAGTTGATATTGATTTCGCGGGTTCGCACTGTTCGCAAATACCCAATAATCAATGATGGGCTTATTGACTTCGATGTTTCGATATTTGACGTGGCAACATCGATATTAAAACATCGATGTTAAAACATCGATGTTAAAACATTGATGTTAAAACTTATCGATGTTTTCATTTTGACATCGATGATCATCGACATCCCTAAGGTACATATCTATTATCTATTTATTTATTATTTATGATTTATGACGTAGAGAGTAAATGTCATGTCACATGTGTTTTGTGACTGTGATCCACTGATCCACACCATCAAATAAGTCTTAAAACTGGACACAAATCGTTATTATTTTTACGTAGAAATAAAATTAATTAAACCTAATAGAGTAGGGTCGTGATGGAGTCCGAATCAGAAGTTACTAAAGAAAAAATTCACACTGAACCCATGTTAAATGACCCGCGATACATAACCTTACTAAGTGTAATAGTACTTATTTTTACATTTTGTAAGTTATTTTTTTTATTTTAGAAGTTGTTCAATTAGTAGTTACTTTGCAACTACAATCATTAAATCTACGAAATTGCCTGTAGTTTGTATTAATATCATTCAAGAAATAAAAGTTTTTTGTAGTTGTATCAAATTTTGTCATAACATTTATTAATTTTATGATGATTATGTTTGATATGACATACAGTTTGATTGTGTTTGATATGAGATACTTCATAATCCTCATTATCATTACCAATATGAACACAGCCCTTTCCTAATTGGCTTGTTAATATTGCTAATTGAATTATTGAAAATGTATCAAATATTGCAATCGTTTACCTGCCTAGTAATATTCGGCTTTCTGACTATAATGGTTACTTTCTGATTTTTTGCAGTATTCTGGTGGTGTTTTTCACGGCGCCGCTACTTACAAAGATCAATCCTGTTTACTGGTCTTTCAGATTCTGGTAAGACCTTATTGTTTGTCAGGCTAGCATATTCACAATACAGACAAACATTTACATCAAT